CTTTAGTATATTTTAGTATTAGAAACAGGAATACATAAACAAAGCTATATTATTCTTCATTTACTCCGAGTCCGACGAGTCGGGATTTGAACTCTGCCTCACACTCTTCTTCGCCTGAGCTTTGGATTTTGATAAAAATTTTGATGATTCACCTTCAAAGATGATAACATCAGCTTTAGCTAACCTCTCTTCAAGTTCCTCCGTGCTGAACTCATCGGTACCCCCAAGCTCATCAAATCCAACCTAGAATATCCAATTCATGGCCAAAAAGACGATTTTAAGGTAATGGCAGAGTGCAAAGAGTAGGAAATTCAATTGTTTACTGCACAGACATACCAGGTAGTTATCAACTTTAGCATTTTTGATGAGTGCAAGGGTTGGAAGAACAACAATTCTGAGCTTTTCAGCCAGGTATGGCGCTTTCTCTGCGTTAATTTTCACAAAACGTGTTTCTATATGCTGTTTTGCTAGTATGCTCAAATGCTTATCCATAACCTGCAACAATCAATGCAACAATCAATGGATGCAACAGCCAATAGGCTTTTAGTTGAATTGGAAGGAAACTAGATATTTTTTTTACCTTGCAAGGCCAATTTTCGCGGTAGAAATGGCAAACCACGCGATCACTAGCCTTAACAACAGAGAAAAAATCCTTTTCAGCTTGGATCTCAGAGTATTCTCCATGTCCAAGAGATAACCAACGATTACGTTTTTCAGCCATTTTCTTCATCTGTTGCAATCTACGTTCTCTCAACACCTCCAAATCATCGAGATCTAATCGATCTAAAGCATGAATCTCTTCATCAAGCTTGTCCTCCACCGCTTTTGCCACCGTCAACACTTGCTTCGCCACTATCTGCAATTCATAAAATTCCTAAATAAACATCAAATTTCGCCATTCTCCATTGTTAAATCAATAATACCTCTTGAACCGCATTCTCCATGGTTGCAAATGGAGCAATCTCTGCTTCTTCTTTTTTTGGGGGAAAATGAAAGCTAATTTGTTTGGCTTTTTTCTTCAAATTGAAATTGATTTGACGTTCCTCTCTGTTTCTCCGGTACAGCCTAACCCTTATAATCCACGGGTTGCCCCGGCCCGTTTAACCTTATTGAGTTGAATAAAATCACCACTAATTTATACTATTTGTTTCTTTTTGCTAAAATTCAAATTCATATTTTATTAATTATAATAATTAATAATCGTGAAAACTATTAAAAAAATCAATTTCTTATACGAATCTTACCAAATAACCAATCAAAAGTTAAAAAACAAGATATATTAAATTACTATATGATACTACATTGATAAATCATATATATTTTCATTCAGTATTTGATAGATGTATTGAAGTCAGACTAACCACATAGAGTCAATTCAAATCCAAGTTTCTAATATGTGGATTTTGTCTTTATCAAATCTTGAAGAAATTCAACCTAAGTTTAATAATAATATCGGTTATCGAATTAGGCATGAAAAATATTGCCCAACAAATTTGTATGTTAGTAAAATTTTATCAATATATGAAAACGTGATTAAATTTGATTTTCGTATCTTACCTTAGCCTACCATTTCTTATAAATAAATCCACTAATTCATATTTATGTTTGAGCTATTAACATATTCATTTGATATTTGGTTTACTTAATATTTAGGCCTAAGTCATCTCCAGCCACTCAAAGTTGTCCGCATAATTCATTTAGACACCTTAACTAATCCTTGTGTCAAATGAACACTTTATTTGTTCAAAAGTCATTCTTATTAGACACAAAATGCTGACGTGACAAAAAACGTGTAATTCACTTTCCTTGAGCGCGTAAATTTATTAAAAATAATATTTTTCCTTTTTTTTCTTAATTTATACCCCTAAGTTAATTTTTAAAAAAATAATTAACAAAAAAGAAGAAGAACAGTTCTCTTCTTCTTCCCTACCACCCCACCCCCACCCCAAACCCCATACCCATGTACCAGTGGTTATCTTCTTCCCCCACCATTCTAATGGTTTCAAAATTCTTAGCATTTTGTTTTATTTTTTTTCTCTTCATTTTTTGTAAAAAAAAAAATCTGCTAATTTAATATGTGAAAAGAAGAAAAATTCGAACTTTGGAGTTAAAAATTGATCGATATTCTCTATCTCTATTTCGATCACTCCGATTGAACAAATATCGCCACTCATTAATTTATTAAAGATATTAAAAAATTCAACATACTTTCAATTTTTCTTGGTCATGAATCTTAAAAATAATTTATTGACGTTTATTTATTTTCACTAAAATCTCAAAACGAATGGAGAATAACAGATGATAGGAGAATAAATTTGAACGGGAGATTTTTATTTTTGTTATCTCCGTTATCAATGGTGGCTGCCGGGGTTCACTGGGTAGAGGAAGAAGAAAGGTCAAAGGGTTAAGTGGGGATGGGTGAGATTTTCTTTTTACATATTTTTGTGATTAATAAATAAAGGGAAACTATTTTTTATTTTTTTTAAGGGAGAAGGATCAAATATGCCCCTAAACTATTTGAAAAGGTTTAGATATACCCTCCGTTTAAAGTTTGGTCCATTTATACCCTCGCCGTCTACATATGCCCTTTTGGGCGTTAGTTGACCAACTCGAAATATCCAACTCATTTTACTTTTATTTAAATGTCAAATGGATTTTCCACGTTATTTTTATGTATTATCACTTGACATTTATATTTCAAGGGAAAAGGGTCAAATATGCCCCTAAACTATTCGAAAGGTCTAGATATACCCCCGTTTAAAGTTTGGTCAATTTATACCCTCGCGTCCAACTTTTGGTCTACATATGCCCTTATGGGTGTTAGTTGGTCAACTCGAAATATCCAACTCATTTTACTTTTCTTTAAATGTCAAATGGGATTTCACATCATTTATATATATTATCACTTGACATTTATATCAAAAGAGAAAGGGGTCACTTATGCCCTAACTATCCGGCTCAATTTTAAAACACATATACGACCGTCTTTTACATGGTTCAATTATGCCCCTAATCCGACTCATATATGTGTGAATTATTTTGTTATTTACGTCATCATCGCCTGTTTCAGCTTGCAGTTGTGTCTGTAACGTTGTTGCGGTGAACTCCTCTACTCTAGCCCTTGCCTGCCAGGTTTGCGGCGCCAAAACACTTTTCAAACCTCGACTTCCTTTTCCTTTAGTTGTCGTGCCATTGATTCCTCGACGGTTCCAATCAGAGCACGATAGTGTTCGCCATTTAAATGGTTCAATTATGCCCTAATCCGACCCATATAGGGTATTTAAAAAAAAGGGTTGAGTTGTATAGATTATTTAAAAGACGGGTCGTATATGTGTTTTAAAATTAGGTCGGATAGTTAGGGGCACAGTAGACCCCTTTCTATTTTAATATAAATGTCAAGTAATAATATACAAAAATGATGTGAAAAATCCATTTGGCATTTAAAGAAAAGTAAAATGAGTTGGATATTTCGAATTGACCAACTAACACCCATAAGGGCATATGTAGACCAAAAGTTTGGACGCGAGGGTATAAATTAACCAAACTTTAAATGGGGGTATATCTAGACCTTTCGAATAGTTTAGGGGCATATTTGACCCTTTTCCCTTGAATATAAATGCCAAGTGATAATACATAAAAATAACGTGGAAAATTCATTTGACATTTAAATAAAAGTAAAATGAGTTGGATATTCCGAGTTGACCAACTAACGCCCAAAAGGGCATATGTAGACCAAAAGTTGGACGGCGAGGGTATAAATGGACCAAACTTTAAACGGAGGATATATCTAAACCTTTTCAAATAGTTTAGGGGCATATTTGACCCTTCTCCCTTTTTTTAAATTAAAAAATTATATTTTATTGCTAGACTGGGTCCATGTGTCAAGTGTTATAATTTTATTTGTCATTTTTTAAGACAATGTGCGTGAATTAAACGCAAAATATTTTTAAAAAAAGTTTTCGTTTTATGTTCAATAGATACATATTCTTTAATATTAAAGTGTCTAATAGGTAATAGTCCTAGTTGAAGTGTCTAAGTGAATTATGTGAACAACTTTAAGGGGCCGCATATTACTTAAGCCTAATATTTTTATATAAGTTATATATAAAAATGTTTTATATGTAATGCATGTGTATAATGACTATAAGAATTGATGCTTTATGTTTGATTAATTATTTATGAAATTGCTATACAAATTAATTTTTATGGATTACGATATCACATTTAAAAGATATACTTTATTAGATTATACATGAATGAAATCGGTTTACAAAGTGACTTTATATTTATTCTTATTTAAAGTGTAATTAATATCATTTCAAAATTGATATGGAAATTAAATTAAAAATAAAAATAAATTAGGCATAAAGTCAAAAAAATAATTTTTTCAACACATCCCCTCGGTTTTCTTCTTTGTCATGTTCCTCTTATTACCTTCATAAATGTTCTTCTGTCATTTTCTTCTTAGCAAATATTTTCAGATTGACACTTAAATTTCATTTTCTTCTCATATTTTTACTATTTTTCACTCAATTTCATCATTATACTTAGAAAAAAGTAATTTTTTTAATTTAAATTTCACAATGATTTTAGGAAATTGAGACTTTGTTGTCCTAATCTTTTCACTTTCTCCTTCAAATTTTTATACCAAGAACAAAGCTTACTCGAACACCATGGATTATAAATGGACAGAAAAATAGAACAATCTATCCTAAAAATGCCATAAATCTGAAAAAACATCTTCAACTTGTAACGAAAAGTTTCGACTAAATTTGGATCACATTATGCAAGACCCATTCGAGGTGCCGCTCCCCATAAAATTTTTTCCAACCCGAAACCTCTGATTAAGGGTGAAAATGACGTTCACCATGACCCATGTTGATCACTTGTAGCGTTTTGTTACGTTGTAATGATAAAGTAAAGTATACATTTGTCATTTTTTTTTGGTATTTTAATAAATCATCGTTAGTGTATAAATTATGAGGGCGTGAATGTGAAACTGAAGGGCAAAACAAAACAGAGTCTAGCCATATCTTACTAAAATTTTATAAACTACAATGGAGAACTCTTGATACCAGAATCCATGTAAGAACAAGTAAAACAGTACAAGAATCTACAATTCCCCTCTGAAGACATTTCAAAGAGCATCAATAGAGATATGCTTACATCTATCATGACATTACAGCAGCAATAGGTCCCTGGTGTTTGTTTGTCAAGGTGAAGTTCAACCAAAGTATTTGGGGAGAGAGCCTGATCGATCCTCCATCGGATAAACACATCCTTCAACACGGATGAGGCAGTAAGAAATATCCGGGCAATATTTACTCTTCCGGATCCACATTCTTATTTTCTGTCTCAATCTTGACACAATTCCCAGCACCTTGGTTAAGCAGTCCGTTCTTATAAAGTGAGTCCAATTCATGGAAATAGGGACACGATCTGTAGTTTTTTGGACGCGTCTTACCACTGTCGATTGTCCTTTTATAGTACTTGTTAATGTTCTCCCATTTCTCTTTACACTTCTTTGCTGTTCGAATGTAACCCATCTTAGCCAATCCATCCGCTACCTCTTCCCACACGGATCCTTTAGCTCCTTTAAGAAACTTGTGATCTAAACGAGTACGAACTGATACAAGGGCTTGTACTTCAAGTTTTGGCCATCTCCTATTACATGGATCGGATCTAATGTCAGCTTCTTGACCATGAACTTCACCTTCATCTTTAACGAGACTTGTTACTTCTGATGATTTTGGAATTTGGAAATCTTCACCTAACAGATTCTCAAGGAAAGCAATAAGAGCCAAGTTTCTAGATGTCTCTTCAGCTCTCAACTCCACATCCCGCTTTGCCCTTTCTACCTCTTGCTGCTTCCAAGCTTCTTCCCGAATGATTCTCTCCTCTTCCTTCTTCTCTAGCATCTCTATTAATTGTTTGTGCATCTGCTCTTGCTTGTCCATCAACTTCTTTACCATGTCTTCAAGACTTAATTTAAGACTCTTCCGTGTTCCCCTCTTCCTTTTCCTATTTAAATGTTCTTCAATAGGCTCGGATGATTCACTGTCAGAAGATGAGCTGCATCAAGGTAAATCATAAATACCAATCGTATCAGGTTTCTCACATACTAATTAGAAGAAAGTTATGGCTAGGGAAATTCACAGATTCTCGAAACATAAGTATCGTATGTTCAGAATTTAGTTGGAGAAACCAATCTTTCCTAGAAAATCACTTCTGTTATTCAAATAAATCATTGTCATGTGATTATCTGGATTACAATAGGTTACATGATCCATCAGAACTATGTTGCTGGCATGAAAAATTAGACTTCAGCAGTAAGTAGGCAACCGTTAATACAAATGCAACCAACCGTACAGATTCAAGACCTTATTAGCCGCTTTCTTTCCCATATAAACATCAACCACAACAACAAAACACCCAATGTAGTCCTTCTACGGAGGTAGAGTAAACATAGACTTCACCCAAAACCGCAGACGTTGAGAAGTTGTTTCCAATAGACCCTCACTATGACATCAACCACCAATCTACTAATTGACGTAGATTCGACTTCTAAGGCATAAAGTGTGAAGAAAGAATAAAAAGTATGAACCATTTCTAATATCAAAAGGTTTTGAAACTTATTCTAAAGTAAGTATCAAAAAGCTTAATTTTGTTTTTGACAAAACTTAAATTTAAAGTTTACTGGTAATGACATCAAGTACTTTATGTGACAACAGTAATTAGCAACAAAAACAATTGGATATTAGAAAGTTAATATAATATAAAAATAATGCAATTACGAATAATAATTACTTTTGCTCACATAATCTAATTAATTAATAATACAAAAATTACCTAAATTCAGTCTCCAAAATACGAGATTGCGAGATCAAATTAAAGCAATCAGCATCTAACTCCGATTTCATTTGCTGAACTGCCGAAATCCCCACCTCAGAGCATTTAGCGACGCCATTCTCATCCAAAGAATTAACAAATCCACACTCCATGGGCAACACCGTAGACGCATTTTGAGCAGAAAACTGACTTAAAAACCCTAAATCACTGGTGCAAGTCATCAAAGCTTCGTCAATATCACAGTTGCTGTCCACCATATCGACATAGTTTCGTCCGTTTCCAAACCGCACTGGTCGGAGTTTACGTACAGGGGAAACCGGAAGGCGGTGGATTCCCGGCGGAGCAATAACGGCAGATGGATTCTCGTAAACGACGTTAGTAGATTCAGGGAAAGGAGCAAGATTATCAGCGAATGAAGTGATGTCGTTTGGTGGATGGCCGTCGCCGTCGATGAGAGGTTCCATTGTAGAGGTAAAAAAAAAAGTAATATAAAGCGGCGGCGGAAGGAAAGTGGATGACTGGTAAAAGCAAAGTAAAATGGGGTAAAAGGGAAAGGAATCACCGAATTAACAACTTTTTTTTAAACAAAACGGACGAATATACCCTTGAACAATCGTAAATAATATGATACTTTCCATCATATTTTTAGGAAATTAATATCTTTATCTTAAAAAAATTAAAGTATATGTGACCTTCACTCTGACAGAAAGACTAAATAAAAACACCTGATATAATTATATCCGTGATCTGATATTCAATAAATGTTGAATCAGTGGACGTAAATATTCTAATTTTTAAACAACAGAAACGCTTATGTCTCAAAATTGTGACAAAAAATACTTACATATCATTTACCATTATTTAGGGTTATATTTGTCCACTTCCCTTTTTTTTCAAAAAAAAATTTAAGTTTCATCTCTTATTTATTACGTGCCACATGATTAGCCTATCTCCAATTTCAACCGTGGGTGAAGGTTCTAAAAGCACTTCAAATTGTTATAATTAGCTAATATATACCAAAATTTTTAAGATCGATATAAATAACATCACATGCATAATTAATTTTTACGAAAAAAATGTTAATTTTAGAATATGACTTAGACTGTTATAGAGATGTCTAATGGATATGAACACAATTAATATATCTTTACCGATTAATTAAGTTAAATATGAAAGAATCCATCCATTTGCCAAAATTTTCATTCAACAAGAGATTATGGTTCATGGATTCCATTCAAAAACTGAAACATCATACAACAAGCACAGTTTCTCTCTTTCAATCGTGTTATATTACATGTTGTAATTGCGAATAAAAGGCGATACGTATAAGTGATTACAGGTAAATTGACAGTATGTCTAACACATTCCTCTGCTACTTATCTTGAGATGTTACTTCTAATCATTTGTCACTACTGAACGTAAAGTTATCAAGAGACGTATGTTCACCTCTGTATGGACTTGTAAAGTACCACTGTCACGTATTTGAACAGGAATCGATTAGTTGAACTGAGTGCTACCAGAGATGGGTTACTCTTTCCCTTCTGCATGTACAGGTGGTTAAGTACGACATGTTGAGGTCTTGATAAAGGAGGTGGAAGAATTTCCATGGGAGATGATGGAACGTTAAGCAAAGTCATTTGTAGATGAGGTGGAACTAAAGGTGGCTCCTTGGCGTAGTCCTCAGCTCCAAGTTCCAAGTTACTGTAGCTGGAATCTGGGGAAAGAGGAGGTTCAAAACCAGAAATGCTTTCGATATCTTCAGGTACATAATCCTGCATCATACATCAAACAAACACAAGTTTTGTTAATATAATTTTAATCAACCATAACCTTAGTCAACTTGTGACTTACAGAGCTAATCGAATCAATTGGCAGTAGGAAATGAAGGACTAACGACTGTGATCATTAGGACAGTACTAAGAATATACGTTTGGGTACCCCCGAAATGAAAATAGTAAGTACTTTCAGCCTATCCGTTGCAACACTCTTTTACCTTTCACAGTCATCTAATCTGCTTAGATAGTTTTCTTTCAAGATAAGTAGTTGCGCAACTGAGATAGAGACTAAGAAGACTTGACATTTTTCTATATTCAACAAATTTCAAGAATTCAACTGTCTCACTTAATCATATCTAAATTTGACGTGATATTGACTTTTCACCCATTACTTTCATTACTTCTTCTCTGCTACATTAAAGTACGTATAAAATATACACATCGAAATTTAGTAACTCAAGTTTGGTAGCATTTCTTTTCTGCGACCATTTTGAATAGCAATACGTTTGGGGACGGGAAGCAGGTGCTAAAGTAGAAGGCATATGAGGCATTCATAAGCCAAGTTTCAAGCAGCAGCAACGCTGTATTTGCTTCTTCCTTTCCCCTCTATAGTTGGTACAACAGCAATTACATGTCAATAACAAGAAAGTAGTTAGGTTGGCTATACGTATATGTCTATTCCACTCAATTTGAGTCAGTTTCATGCCAATACTCAAGATAAGAGTTGTACAAGACGAGGGGTTCTCTAAATTATGAATTTTTAGAAAAAAGTACAACTGGAGGTTCTCTAAATCTTAGTATAATCCATCTAGTGACATAGAAATCTCTTAACGAAAATGACTCCTAGCAAACCAATGGGGCAAATGTAAGTGTATCAATACAACTAGACCTAAATCTCAAGTGTTTCGTATCTCACCTATATGGATCTTTTGCTTTCGTTGTTTTCTTTTGGAGAATAATAATAGGTCTTTATACATGTCAGCACAAAGATTGTGCCAAAATTACAAACGCTCAGTTCCTTTACATTAAAATAGGAAGCTGAAAAGATCGAAAATCCTATCCACTGAGTTGACTTCTTCAAGTCTACACCAAAAGCCCAAAAAAGACAGGCATATATGTTTGCGTATATGTTTTTTTTTTACTCGTTTTTGTTTTCACATTGTTCAACTATTTGCCAAGTCCCCATGAGTTTCAAGAAGCCTTCCCCCAATTTTTTTTTGGTCTGTGATTTGCTTTGACAAGACAAAAACATCTCCAGGTATTTCATCTCAAGGGCTCTAGCAATTCACAGTTTGTGAGGCATTGACACCATAATATAACGACATTTTTTTGTCTAAGTTATGGCTAAGACTGATAAAAAGGCCAGATTTAGTATATCCACATTTGTGATCAAAACACTTACAATCTATATCCATGCCATTTTTGAACAGGGCATGGATCCATATGCTGACACTTCTTGTTTCAATGATGAGATTATCACAGAGAAAAAAAAAAGCCCAGGCTAGAGAGATATCCATAGTTGTAACTCAACTCCCTTACAGTGTTCACTGTTCACAAGCCCAAAACTTCATTTCGGAAACTAATATCTTACAGTTGCATAACAAATAATGATTATTCTCTTCTTGGTTTGACAAGGTAGTTAATCTGACTCTGATTTTTCTTCACATTGACGAGTAAAGCGAGGTCATGTACAGACAATCTCAAAGGCCCACAATAAGTACTTAAATTTTGATATTGTGCATGTATAAGCTACATCCCTATTGGACGTCCAGTTTCTATTTTCGCCTTGATCCTTGTAATAGGAGATACAATAGAAACTATCCTTGAGAGAAAATAGACTGAGAAAATTTTTAGATGACAAATGTACCTTCACATCCAAAATATTGTAAGTATTCCCCGCTTCATCCTGAACGCATGGCAAGTCAGGGGAACACCTCCATTGTCCATCAACTATAAACCTATACTGGTAAACTCCGGAAGGAAGCACCTTCAAAATGGTGAAATCTTTCCCAGATCTTTGCAAAATGTTCCTGAGAAACAGAGCCTTAGTTTTTCAGAGTCAACTTGCAATCTTAAACCTCAAAAAGTAGAGAATCGTCTTTTTCAATGTAAAACGCGAATAAATAAAATCAAGCTTAAAAAACCTTGATTTCCAATTATCCCATGATCCCTCAACGGCAATGTCTTTGCCTTCATAGGTCCATGATATCAGTGTGGGAACTCCTTTCTCCTCATTCAAGTCTTCGTACCCTGAGGTGTTTTGCATCCACGAAGGGTTTGAGATGTGCAACTCCTCGGGTCTTTGTAAAGGGACTACTGGCATCTGATACAAAACATTTCAAAACAAACATAATCACATATTCCCTCTCAAAAGAAACCCCCCGGCCTATAAGAAGATCAACATCCAGGACCAAGTTCTGATAAGAAATAAACAAAACATACATAGATGTAACCATTCTTGCTAGATAACTTAAAATGCTCATTAGTGCTTAACAAGAACTCCCTAAAGCCAATTTTCCCCCCCATCTTCGGTGTCTATATGTTTCAATCATCCTACAATACATACAACAGGTAGCACTTGCCAACTTTCAAACAATCTGAATATTGCTGTAAAACACTTCAATTCAAATTCTGAATTCCATTATGTGAGGAAACAATCATTAAAGTTTTTTTATATTATGACCGTGGAGTCCAGGCCAACTTGCGGTCACCTCAACTAATTCCACCTCCCACCACCAACAAGTACAAGTAACTCTGTCCACCAACGATAGAACAACAGATGACAAGAATCATGAAAGTTTATCAATTGATCACAAAACAAATTTATTAATTCCCCATAAAAGTTCAAAATTGTTCAAAGTAACAACCTTTCTTCAATTTTCCAGCCTAAATCTACATCACATCCTCCAAAAGATCAAATCTTTACATCCAAACAAACAACCCAATCTACAATCAACCAAAAAAAAAAAAAGAAACCCCCTTCATTTATTTTTTTTGTCAAGAACTGACCTGAGGTCTAAACATCAATGGAGAATGAGAAGCCCTAGGACTTGAAGGTGGAGATTGACCCATAAATTCACCATCTCTAGCATCCATAGTTTCTTGTATCCCAACACTAGATTGATCAATTTCTTCTCTTCCATTAACATTCCCCATTAAAGTTTGTATTTTTTTTAAAACAAAACCCAGAAAAGAATCTACAAAAAAGTGATTCCTTTATTGTGTATAACTATATAAATACGGTTTACCCACTACTTTTTTTTATGGCATCACAATTAACTTTGAGACTAACAAGTTCTAAAAAAATGTTTATGGAGAATTGAAGGGAAGAAGAATTGGATTTTGTGGTTCCATTTAGATTTTAGATTAAATTGAGTGCTGATGAGTGAAGTGAGGAACACACCAGAAAATAATAATATAATTTCAAGAAAAGTGAAAATTGATACTATAAGTGCAATCCAACGACTCTGGAAATATGTTTTTTCTTATTTCTTCTATATTCGCATCGAAGCTCAATTATTTTACGTTTATATTGTGTATCAGCTTTGAAAGCTCAATTATTTTATGTTTATATTGTGTATCAGCTTTGATACTATATTAGTTTTTGTGATTTGAACGATATTTTATATTGACTAATTATATTAGAGTAATGTTAAATGGCTAAAAAATTTGATCAGAATTTAGTCAGAAATTTAAAATAGTATAATATACTTTTTTATTATAATTAAAATTAAAAGATAATTTAAAAAGGTAAAATAACATAGATAAAATATTATTATCAAACTCAAACCAAAAGATTTTTTCATTATATTTTATTACACTCTTTCTATTTCAACGTACTTATCGGTTTTTATTTTAATTTAATTTAAAAAGTTTAGAATTAAAAGTTACAACAAGAAAAGAATGAATTAAAAAGAAAGCAAGATAAACGTATTGAAATGAGTAAGTAACTGTTATTGCTATTCCATCAATCCCTATTCACGTATCAGTATTTGATTTTTAAAAATCATAATCAAAATTGACTATGAATAATGAAAGAATTTTAAAATTAGATTAATTTATATTATAAATATATAATTATATTATTTCTTTTATTAAAGTTGATTAAAGGAAAGTGAGTCACATGATTAAGATACATGAAGTAATTTTTTTCTCTTTGATGTATACACATAGTTAAAAAAACCATAGAAATTATGTCACTTTACTATTTTAATAAAGAACGAATAAGTACTGCATCAACTTATTTTAAGTTGAGAAACTTATATAAATATATTATAAATAAAAAGTATTTATCATTTATAATAATAATATTATTTTTTATTTTTACTTTTTTAAAGATATTTTATAATATATTTTAAATTTATATTACAAAAAATAATTTATTATTCACATATAATATAAGTTTTATTGATAAATAATGTATTTATCATTTATTTTAGTACACTTATAATATAATATGTCAATTTTTTTACCAAATAATCATAGTGTATTTTTTAAAATAGTTATATTACATATATATATATATATATATATTTATATATATATATTGCACACTTAATTCAATTTTAATACTTATTACAGATTTAACATAGTATTACTACTAAATAATAATTAATAAAAAATATCGCTAAAACCAATAGTTATTTATTAAAATAAATTTATTAAAGTAATTTTTTCCTTAAAATTTTATCATAAATAAAAAAGAAAAGGGTAGTTTATTGGGCAACTTTCACATATAGCAAACAAAAAATTCATATTTGTATGCTATAGCAAACTTTGCATAATTGCGCTCCATAGCAAACATAAAACTGTATAATTTGCTATACATATACAATTATATAATTAGCTGACCTAAATTGTATAATTCGCTGGCCTATTTCACTGCAATTGTATAATTTATTTTGCATACAGTTGAATCGAATTAAAATGTATGTATATTGCATAATTATAAGTGTATAGCAAGAAGATATATGTTTTTCTCGCTTTATACAAAAACAGAAACACAATATATACACTTCTATTGTATAAAGCTACAGAAAATTGTATTTCACTGCAATTGTATAATTCGCAATTGTATAATTCGTTGGCTTTTTTCTCTGTAATATTTGAAGTAAAATGTTTGTAAATTGTATAATTAAGTGTATAACACGAAGATATACATTTTTGCATTGTATATACAATTTTCTCTCGCTTTATACAAAACAGAAACAGAATTATACACTTCTGTGTATAAAGCGAGAGAGGCGAGCGAGAATGGAGAGTGGCGAGCGAGATTTTTGGGAGAGAGACGCTGGAAAATTTTAGCTAATGTTTGCTATGGAGCACAATTTAATCAAATCCTAGCTATTCCATTTAATTTAGGTTATTAGATTGCTATTATATACAATTTTCCCTAGTTTATTCGGGGATAGAAAGAGTAGTGGCCCAATTATGATGTATTGGTTTGCTGAGTCCAGTGGGCCTTAAAGATAATTGAGTCACATCATCCCTTTTCTTTTCTTTTTTACTTTTTGTGAAATTCTTCATTTCTTGGATTAAAAAATCATCTACTATAATAGACTTCTCCATTACTCAAAGGTAACTTCAATCACTTACTTTTAAGTTTCAATGATGATATCATGAATAGCATATATATATATATATATATATATATATATAAATTATATTTTTATTTAAAACTATTCTTTTCGTCTGAATCAAAAGTGTTCTTTTTATTAACGAAAGTTGTTAAATGCCATTTGGATATCACATTGCATGCAGGGTTCCACTGACCTTTTTCCTTTTAATCTATGTGACCTTTTAACTAGCATAATTAAATTATAATTTTATCCTTATTAATTATGATTTCACAAATAATGAATTAAAACTTAAAAAATTTTTAAGAAATTTAAATGAAGATATAATAGAAAAAAATTTTGTCCTTTTTTAATTTATCAAAATGAACAAGTAAATAAGGACAATCAAAAAAAGAAATATTTTCAAGTAAATAGGGACAGAGGGAGTAACCGATTAACTTGTTATTATAGGTCCAATAGTACTGATATGTGAAAATGTTTTTAACTGTTTGTTCATAATAACTTAATCCAAATACAAAATGGATCTTTTTTTTAAAAAAATCATTTTCGTTTTAACTTAATTTTGCCACTAATTATTAATTTTCCCTTTAAAATTGTGGGTACATGACTAATTTTTTTGTTTAAAAAAAAGAAAAAGAAAATATGGGTTAATTAGCACTTTGAGAAGAAGATAACTAGATAAGTAAATTGATGGTTATTATAGCTAAGAGTGGTCGCGTGTATCGTCAAAGATTGTTATGAAGCGATAAATATTTTTTTATACTTGATTAGAAATTTTGCATTTGAATCGGGGATATGACATATTTATCTCTTAAAATGAGACTTTTCAATATGAATACGAATTAATCAAGTCTTAAAGCGGATATTAAATACATGTTGTTTTTTTTAAAAAAAAGGTGTATATGGGTGGTTGTTAGTCTCTATCAAAAATTGAGTGCTCAGCGTACTGAAAATGGCATAGACATTTGGAAGTGTCATTTTTTCTAATAAGAGGGGCCCAGAAAGCAAAAATTACTTTAGTTTTATCGTAAAATAACGTTTACTAATCACTTTTTTTTTAATACATGTTAATGTAATAATGAAAATGGATTTTCTCACGTAACATAAACATAATATCACTCTTTTTACGTACAACACACTTGATTAGAAGCTACACAAAATTGTACATAAAAATTTAACATCACGAGTGCACAACTCAATGTGTGTGACTAAAGCGCCATCTCAAGAAATTGTGCCATCTCTTCTCTTCTTCTCTTATCGTGGATTATACTCGGGAGCTAGCTTTAGGGGTCAGGTAAATTGTTGGAGTTGTGTAAACGCGAACGCCAATATTGGACGATGTCAGTGTGAATGTTTTCCTTTTTGTAGAATGATGATGACAAAGTGAGTAGTCCTTTGGGAGGTGAAGAATTTGAATGTGACATAGATTTGGATCATGAATATTAGCATGGAGATGAGAAGGGACATCTATTATAAAATCTCCACTTTCATTTGTTACATTTTTGGCCCATGATGATTTCCTTACCCGACCCGGCCCACTAGTTCCACAATACACCGCCACAGATGCACCTGATCATCATATTAATACAGTCAGAGCTTTTCATAATAATCATGTTTTTATAATCGATCTTTCATATTAGGGGAAAAGGAAAACTATACCCCGAACTATATTAGGGGAAAATGACAACTACTTCCAAACTATCGTATACGAATACCCTCTGTTATACTTTTGGAATATTGATGCTCTTGTCGTCCAAAAACTAGAGCATATATGCCCTCCAATCTATCGGAAGACTAAATGAGGGACATGGGGCACAATCTTATCCGTTGATCTGGTATTTAATGAATGTCGGATGGGTGAAAAAGATTAGACACGTGTATGTCTGTTAGTATAAAGGGTATATATGTTTTTTTTTGGACAACTGGAACACCAATGTCCCAAAAGTATGACAGAGGGCATATGCATACTATTTACGGTAATTCGGAGATATAGTTATTCTTTTTTCCTTCATGTTATGTCATAATATATGATGTTATAATAACAAAACGAACGTACGATTGTATAAAAAAAAGTAGAAATTAACCTGGAACTGGATGTGGTGTGTGACCACAAAGAAGAGTACCATGTAGGAAAACAGTAGAGAGTTTTTCTTCACCATAACCAGCTATCTTAGCCAATTCTTCTCTACTTGAAAGTTCTATTAATGGATTATTAATTGCCCAACTTATTGGCACAATTAATAATAAGGATAATAATATCACAATATTTTCTTGGATCATCTTTAATATATATATATGAAATCCTTAATTTGTATCAATAGATGTGTGTATATATATATGGAATGAAATGAAGAGACAAATTTTATGGAAAAGGTAGCTACTATATATGTCAACTATATATGGTTTCTTTTAATTTAATTTGCACATAAATTAAGTTGGAAGATTAACGGTAGGTTGGTAGCCTAATCTTATCAGCACCTATACAAGCAGACAAGAAATATTAATTTTCCAAGAGGGGCTCATTTGTACGAGAGATAAAGAATAACTGATTTCGAGATTAGTTTTATGAATTTATTTTATAATTGATTTAGATAAAATGACGAGATAATTAATCTCGTGTTAACTTGTTCCCCCAACCAGACACATTCTAAGAGTTTAATAAATATCTATCGAATTTTTACACTAAATATTTAGTTAGATTATCTATAATAACATGCAATATTTTCTCCGTCCCATTTTATATGTCACCTTTCGAGGAGCGGCTTACGCATATTAGTGGCCTAAGACAAAAATCAAACGGGGCTTTGAACGTGAATTATTAATAACATTTATATAATTGGTTTCTTCTGGTTTTCAATTGATAATACAATCATTCATATTTTAAATTATTTTTCATGAGATATAGTACTCCAAATATGTCAAATTTGTTTTAATAATTCCTTCATTTTCATGAAAAGTTTATTTTTTCCTACAAATAGTATTCAATATTTGTTAAAAAAAACAATAACTTATATCTATTATTATTAAAAATGAGGCCCCTTAAATTTGGGGGCCTAAGACACATGTTTTTTTTTAACACTGTCCAGTCACCCCTACACCTTTCGGATTCCAAGAGTCAAACAAGTCTATCTTTGACCGTAAATTTTTCATAAACCTTTTAAACATTTTGAATTATCAATTATTGCGACTCATAGTATTTTTTACGTAGTTTACAAATATATAAATTTTATTTTTAAAAAATTGAAAATTTCATGCGCAAAATTTCGATCAAACTTAAACTGTTTGACTCTCAAAATATAAAAAATGTCATATAAATTGAGACAGTATATAGAGTATAACATGTAGATATTTTCTTAAATGTTATGGTAATATAAAAATAACGTTTAGATTATTTTGATATATCAATGTAAAATATAAAGATTTAGTGGAAGATATAAAGCCAAGCCCCACCATTAATTGTAACTTGATCAACTATTTTATTGGTACTCTATTGGAAACAAGTAATAAAACATTTATGACTGAATTTATTAGTTGAACAAATCACATAATAAATAAAATAAATAAAACCACAATGGGAATTTTGGTGGGATTGGTTTTGACCAACTATGTACGTTTATTTCTTTCTTTGTTGACCAAAATTGAGTTCAATAAATACTCCTAAAACCATATACTATAATGTATTCATTTTGGGAATTTTTGGTGGGGTTGGTTTTGACCAACTACTTTATTTTATATTTCATTTTAATTATCATACAAAGTTTTATTTTTTTCTAGATTTTAGTTTGGGTTATTATAATGAGTGAACATAATAAGTTAAAAGCTTCTATTTCTCATTAATAAAATTAGTACATATATCTATTCAATTAATTTCTCCTTATGTATATATGTATGTCAATTCTATTAATGAAGACTTGTGTAAAAAAAATTTCATAATCCTAATAACTTATCGTATTCAAAATAGAACAATTTCATATCATAAGAATATATATGGACATATCCTCTTTCTTATTAGGGATGGTAATGGAGCGATGTAGGACGGGGCGGTGCAGGTTGAACTTAATACATAAGAATTTTAATTCGCCTCGCAACACTTTTCATTTTCAATCCGTCCATCCCGCGCCCGCATAAACCCGTCCCGCATAATTTTTTAAATAGTTTATCTTTCTAGTTATGTTTGATACTAAAAATGAAATTCATAAAAGTAAATTCATTTATTCATTGAGTTGTATTAATTTAATAGGATAATGACTTGAAATTCTATTTTTGAGAGGTCAATTGGGAAACATGCAATGCAAGAAATTATATTATTATTTATCGAACCATTTTCATTTATTATCTTCAATATTTTAGTAGCTTTAATGGAATTTTCTAAGGAATAACGCTCTATCACTCAATAATGCGTAAAAAGTTAAAATTAAATTTGAACCCCACATAAAATCACGTATACCAGCAACCCGCCCCACTCCACATCAATTTTTTTTAAAACCCACTTCAACCGCCCTGCGTCCGCCCCGCTCCGCATAACCTTAAACCTGCCCCGCCCCACATAGCCTGAAGCCCACCACGCCCAGCCCATTGTCATCCCTACTTCTTAGCGGGATATCTTTGAGTCCAATAAAAGTTCATTTATGGCACGTTTAACATGCCGAAAGGGCTTAACTCTTACGGGATGGGATGTTCTTAGCCGCCTCCAACTCTTTATGTGGGTCAAACAACTTCCTTAAGTCAGCATACATCATTTTTATCTCTCTACTAACGGTGATGTATCAATTCCCATAGTAATAAGATAATACAAATCATGGGAAAATAGTTGAAAAACGAAATAGGTAGAAAATTAACTCATGGAGAAGCATTGACTGATAATCAAATCATTTACTCAACACAAAAAGCTATTATCAGTTACTTCAAAATTACATGTGTGGACTTGTTTGAACCTCGAAAAGTCTAAATACTAAACTTATGTAAAAATATTCAAACACCATTCATTCATTCATACTTGTTATGCCTAGTTGAAAACAGGACATCCTTGTACTATAATCCCAGGAGCTGTTGGACAAGTTGCTAAGGGACAATGATCCAACTCTGTTCCCCACCATTTCAAGTTCTTCCCCTCGTTTTGCAACGCGAAAAACAGTAAAACACCCATGAAAGCTGTTCCAGCATCCAACGCAGCTGACAGAACGTAGTTGTATTTCTTCCACCACTCTTTTCTGTATTTGAACACGAAATAGTTGAATATCATACCTGTTATAAGCCAGCTAGCTATATTTGTTGGTGTTGCTGGTGGCATTCCCGCGAAACCATATGATATAACAGGTATGTTGATCAAGGGAATCCATTTCTTTTCCGGGAACATTTTGCTTAGCACCCAAATAGGCACCGGTAGCAATGCACCTATGAGGAATAACCATACCAAATTCCTATATAATCCTCCCGGACCAAATAACCGTTCTGGTCCAATTAGACCCCATATCACAGATGCATCAAATGTCACTCGGAATTTAGGACAGGTCCATGGGCTGTCCGGATGAAGAGCTTCAACGTCACAAATGTTATCGATGCTTCCTAGCATCCACCATGCTACAGCAAGGTTGATTGTACCAGCAACCAGTGTTCCCACGAGCTGGAAGACGTGAAATAAACAGACATCTTTGAATATGTGTTACTACTTATTAGTTCAAATAGTGAAACGCAAAGAAAGAAGTTACTAACCTGAGCTGTGTACATGCATCGTGGCGGAATTTTCATGTAGTGACCAAGTTTAAGATCAGCTAAAAAGGAGAGAGCATGAACAGTACTAGTCCGGCCATAGATTTTGAAAAGCAAATTCGCAATTGGTTTTCCTGGGAGGATATAACCAATTATGAACTGTGCAATTATGTCATATCCGGGTTGCTGCAATGCAATAACGAATATAAGGTCAACATCGAGGCAAAGATTATCGAAATAGCACATAAGCTATTAGGAAAATAGAATTAAGACATCACCTGATTAGTAGTCGCTTGAATGACTCCTATAGGGAGAGTAACAATAAAAGCAAGACCAAATGCAAACAACAAGCCCCACCACGGCAGCTGCACGTCTTCTTTCCACACGAAACACATCAGAAGTGATAGGGCTATGCTACCTACCAATAACGCGAGAAACCACCACTGAGGGACTTGCTTGTAACTCTTCATCAATTTTGCATGAATATCCATTTTGACATTCTTCACCGCTGATCTACTTTGCTTCCAAATATCACTATCCGAGTTGAAATGAAACAGATTGTCAGTTCAAGAAGACAGGTGACTGTTCGAGATAATAACTACTATCAAAAATCAACATGTTATTTCTCTCTTTAAGAAGCAATGGAGTTTAAATTGCTTTACATAACTCTAGTCAAACTTCAACGAATCTCATTTCAATGTTCAAGAATAAGCGACAAGTTCTAAGAAATTCAAAAGTATAAAGCTTTATGAGAGGCTAACCTTCCATGAAATAGCGCAACATGTGTGAGGGTAGCTGTAAACCTTGCAAATCCCGATCCGATTGAGAGGGCAAACAAAGGACTGAGGTAGAGCTTGCTGTACTTCTCATAAGCAGCAATATTGAGATCGAATTGTGGAGTCAAGATTTTAGTGGTGTCGTATTTGTGGCCGCTAGCTGTGAACAACTGATTTGAAAAGATAGGAAACTTTTGAGCATCAAAAGTGTTGTACTTCCAGTAACATAGAGGAATAATGATGTATATGAACATGATAAATCCAACGGCAACATTTAGAATCGAGGACCACGGTGTCACTAGTGGACTGCCATGATAAGCTGATATGCCAGCCCAATCAAGGGTAAAAGCACCCACACCGAGGCCATGATATCCCGAGCCAATTTGTTGAGCTGTGATACTATGTGGATACGCCCAACAGACCCATGAGAAGAAGGTCAAAATTGGGAATAGATAGCCTGGGAGAGCGTAGTATGCAAAGCTTGCAGCCATAAATATAAGGAAAAACTTCATCCTTGTGAAGCCTCTTGTTTTTGGTTCCTTTTCGTGAAGTGCCCTGTCGTAAAAAAAGTCATGAATGTAGATATGAAAACACGAACAACAACGATGATATTTGAATTGTGAGGAATTTGGTCACTGTTGCATTCGAAAAATCACAAATTTTATTTAGACAAATGGACAGCCATAACATAGTTACAAAAGAGATCAGGTGAACCTGAATAGAGAAACTTGAGCAAGGTTTGAAGGCCACCACATATCGACAGGGTCAACGAGGTATCTCCTCAACATTCCCGCCCATCCATACCCCAATATCTGTACAAAATTCATAACTATCAGAAATAAATTCTTTCCAGATT